GAGCGGGAATTCAAGTCCTAGTCTCCAATGTCCTAATCCAACACTCAAACCATTGCACCATGCTGGGCAGCAGTTTAAAACATATCCCACTGTGCACCTGGCATATCTGCCTCTGCCATGCATTGCTTATTCTGAGGACAGAACAAGGCGCTGAGCCACGTGACTGATTCTGGATGCTTGTTTGAACCTCACAGAGTGAGCAACACCACCACCACAACAGCTGCACTGCACACAGCAGAATGAATGTGCAAACAGCTATCCCACATTGGAATGGAAAGCCAAGATAATGAATGGAGGTCAGAGCAACTGCATAGAGGACCTGGGTCTGTGTGTATGATTGCTGCAAAAGGTAAGTTATGATTGGTGAAAGTATCTTTGGAGGACAGCGTGAGATGCAGTAGGAAGTGAAGAAATTAACTGTGAACACACCTTAAGGGGAAATAGTTTGATAAGTGCTGAACTGTAATGATTTTATAGGGTCTTACAACCAGTTGGCTCATTGGTATGAGTTTGTGAAGTTCACTCTTGATCCAGATCAATAAATCTTGAACCAACTGAGTTTTTATAAGAGAACTCATTGAAGAAGAAAACTCCATGGATTTTGATTGCTTTCCCCAGCTTTTGAAACACAAAGAACAAACGCAGTGCTGGAATAAAGATTTTTATTCTCCTTCAGTGCAGTGCGTATTAAGTCAATCTGCCTGATTCATAGCTCTTTGTTTCTACCTCTTTGTGAGCTACTAGATTGGATCCTTTCTAAGGCACAGTAATCAAATTTTGCAAACATAGCTTAAATGATACCTCACCATCTTCTTCCATTAGGACTGTATCAGCATTTTCATTATAGCATTAACACTACTACCATCACCCTTGATTTATGTTATATGTACTAGCATTAAGCTGCCAAATATTGCTTGTTTTGTTTGACACAACACTGCAGTACTGTATGTAGATTTCAGGTAATGTCTCCAGGGGACGTTTCCTCAAGGGCTCCTAAATACCATTTTGAACATATCTCATTATATCTGATTTCAAAAGCCGGTTTGTATTTGTAGGGTCCTATCTGGGATCTTAAGGCAGAGCTAAGTCTGACTCAGTATAATGCAGCATCCTATGCTTTTCTCATGGTTTAAAGACGGAGGGGAGTGGGTTAGATCACCGACTCCTATTATAGTTGAGCTTCTGCAGGAATTATTAATAATTCTGTACTAATATTAGCACTAGGAAATAGTAAAACAGCAATTATCACTGAGCCCTCCCCAGGAATACTAAAACCTGCCTGAAAATTATGCTAGCTACACTTACTTGGGAGTAGGGTACACTGAACACATGGAGGATATGTTGAAGTATACATCATGTTTGTAAGAGCCTTCATATTTAAGGATGTTTGAATGATAATGGATGGGAAAAGCATTCCTCCCTCCCAATATAAAGGTAAAAAGATAAAGGTAGTCCCTTGATATGAATGTCTAGTCATAATTGACTGTAGGGGGTGGTGCTCATCCCCGTTACTAAGCCAAAGAGCCAGTGTTGTCCAAGGACTACTTTGGTGGTCATGTGGCCAGCATGACTGCACCAAATGCTCTTATCTTCCCAATGAAATGGTACCTTTTATCTACTTGCCTTCGAATGCTTTGGAACGCAGAAGCTGAGACTAGTGACAGGAGCTCACCCCATCATGAAGTACTTGAGCTTCGAATTTTCAACCTTCTGATCTTCCAATCATCAGAATTGGTGTCTTAAACACTAAGCCACCTCATCCCAATATAAGTATCCCAATATAATTTATATATCAAAATAATACCCCAATATAGTATCCCAATATAATATAATATTCAAATATAATTATCCCAATATAAGTAGGCAAAATTAATAGGAACTTGCTAGCCAATGTTGAGCCCCTACCTAAACAGTTCCCAGGCCTATTTTAAAGGGAAAGCCTGCATTTTCTTGCAGACATTTAACATCCATATTTGCTTAAAAATGCACCAACAAGTTTAAGGCTTAACTCTGTCAAGCCACATGTCTTCTTCAATTCATTTCCTTATTTTGCCAATATTAGCCTACCTATAAGAGTACAAGGAAGCTTTCCCTCCAGCAAATTTGGTTGCAGCTCCCATCATGCTCCAACCAGCGTGGCCAGTGGCTAGGGAATGATGGAAGTTTAAGTCCATCAGTGTGGAGGAGGCTAGTGTAAAGAGTTAGAAGAACTCTTGAAGAAAAATGACTGACAATAACAGCAGTCAGAGAAATTTAATTTGGGGTATTTTTGGAGTCAGGATGAAATACAGGCACTGGGGCCAGTGGCTGATCCATACTTTATTTGAACCAGAATGAGAAGTTTCAAAATGGCACCCTTCATTGGTCTGAGTCTCATATGCCCACAGTTTTGTTGCAGAATCCATACAGAGCTACACCTGTGATGCCAATCATCTGAACAGTACTAAATACTTTCCCCAACTTCTAGCTACATGCCATATATAGTTTAAGCAAACAAGCAAACAGCTGTGACAAAAAGTGTCTTAATGTATTGCTTTTCACTACTGGGGCATTTTTTTGTCTCAGTCAATGTAATGTATTGGAACAACAACAACAACAACAAAAAAATGTCCCACACTATTTTCCAGCAAACTTTAATGTAACAAAGCAGTAGTGATGTGCATTGGTTGTCAGTAGGTTGGTGCCAGTGGGGAGATACTGAAATTCCCATTATAGTCAGGAAATATAAGATAATATAAATATTAAAATTAAGGTGTCTCCTTTGGTTGATTTAAAACCTGTTTTAGAGCTAAGTGTTTTCATTTGATTTATAGTTATTAATTTAATGTTTTAAAACTGCTTTCATCTATTCTGCATTGCCTTGGGGGCCCTAGTGGGCCACAAGTTGATAAATGAATGCCTTAAATAATAAATAACTAATAAATAAGATGCATATATGATCCCTACCCCTAGCCCTGATCCTAGTCTTGACCCTAACACTCAAACAGTACTTAGAAACAACTAGTTAATTGACTGGTTGAGTTATTAACTTTTTTATTTTTTCCAGTATTATGGCTTAGCTCACAAGTTTTCCTGATTTTTTAGTGAGTTAACTTCAAAATGCTAGACTTTGAAGTGTGGCTTTTCTTCTGGTCAGTTCATAAAGACAAGAAGATTTTAGGAAAAGAAAGAAGGTCTAAAAAGAAGAAATATTAGGATTGAAAGAAATATGTGATTCAGGGTCAATGCAGACTGGCCATTGGGGGCAGCACAGAGCCTCCCTGGGAAGCGGCGAATCGGGGCCATGGCAATTGCATGCCACAGTCCTTATGCTCCCTTTTTCTGCCCTGAAAAGAGTGGCAAAATGCCACTCCTTTTAGAGGTGGCAAAAGGCCACCCTAAGAGCCGTGCCATAGCTCTTCCACACCCTTTCGGCACAGCGTGTTTAAATGCAGTGCCGGGAGGGCATCCTGATTCTGTATGCATGCGTACAGCTGCGCGGCATCAGGACGGCATCAGGACGGGGTTGGGGTGGCCAGTGTGTGGCTGCCCCGCCCCAACTCCACCCCTAGGCCAGCCCTTTGGGCCGGTCTGCAACGGCCCTCAGTTGCAAGTTAGTAGAGCCCAGCATAAGAGTTTAGAAATAACTGAAGAGCATTCAGGGAGTAGTGGAAAACAAATGTAAAGTTATCTAATAAGTTATCGAATGGTTATAGAATGGGATGGCCAACTGATTTATTAGCTAAGTTTTCAAACAGTCATGTCTCTGTCAGAATGACAGACCATTTTGGCACGAAAGGCTGTCCTCTCCCAGCTATTGACTTGTATCTCTCTCTGGTATGTCTGTCTTTTGTGATCTTCTGCGATTCTTTTCCACTGTTGATTTTATGCTAGTTTCTATTGTGCATTATTTGGAGTGGACTGCAATGAATTCCTTTGTATTCCTTTAATGTGTTTATTATTGCTTACACAGTCCTAAGCACTTGTACCATTAAGTAAAAATTTCTCTCAACCCTCCCAGCTTCTTAATAGATATGGGACCTTATCACACAGGGTCTAAAGCAGACCTAATCCAAAGGGTATCCGTAGCTAATACATATTATTTTCCTGTGTTTACACACGACGTTACACCGAAACTCGACAGAACCTGGAGCTAATCTGTATTGTTTCTCCGTGTTTACACACGACATTGCACCGAAACTCGACAGAACCCGGAGCTAATCCATAACTAATTGAGATCTTTTGACATTCAGTTTTTTGGGGAAGTACAAGGGAGCTTTCAGAATCATTGCGCAATGGCCGCACAGGCGAAATTCAGTTCATTTCGGTATAGAACTGAATTTATTCTTATTTCGGTTACTTTTCGCTTCGTGGCCAGCGTGTGATAAGGTCCATGGAGAGGGCATGGGTTTACATAAGTGAATTATTTGGCTCCAAAGAAATATCTTCAAATTCACGAAACCTTCTTGCCTTTGCCTTCTTTTATGATTTTTCTTTTGTCCTTTTGTATTTAGTCATGATGACCTTCCTCCAGAAACAAGTTCACTCCCTCTGGACTCCCCCTTATAAAATGTGTAGCTATCATTCTGTTGTAGTATATTATTTCTGCACTGCAAAAATAATGCAGTTTAACATTGCTTTAACTGTCATGGCTCAATGCTATCGAATTATGGGATTGTGAGATGTTTAGCCTCCTTTCTTAAGAGAGTTCTGATGTGACAATGAACTACAAATTCCAGGATTACATAGCACTGAGCCATGGCAGTTAAGGTGGTGTCAAACTGCACTATTTCTGCAGTGCAGATGCAGCCATAGAGTCAGTAAAAGGGGCTTTGCTAATTTTATCAGACTCAGAGTAGGGTAATGGCTGGGGGTACTTGGACCAATATCCCCACCTGACCATGTCATTCATTGGTTGACCTTGGACCAGTTATGATAACCTAGCCTACATCACAGACTTATGAAAATTTTTAAAAATTGGAAGGCAGGCCATGGGTCATGAGCTCCTTGAAGGAAAAGTGGAATGCATGGTGTAGTGGTTTGGATGTTGGACAGTGACTCCAAAGACCAGGGTTCAAATCTCCACTTGAGCTTAAAAAACCACTGGGTGACCCTGGGCAAGTCACACTTTCTCAGCCTCAGATAATGGCAATGACAAGCCCAATATGAAAAAACTTGCCACGAAAATCCTCACAGGTTTGCCTTAGGCTCACCATAAGTCAGAAACAACTTGAAGGCACAAGAACAACAACAACTGTAAACCATCACTGTAATCATCATGATGATGATCACTCATCATAATCTGTTGGTGTGGTTTTGTTGGTTTTCTAACCCACAGTGGCCTGTCATGCATCAAGCAAAGAATAACACTGCAGTCCTTGGTTGGGCCATCCAGACTGTCCTTAGTTTTCTGCTCTGATGCTTGAAGGCTTCACATGACACTCAAGCACTCCAACCTTCTGAAAATCTGCTCCATGGTTAATTACCCTGGCTAATGATGGCCACTAGCAGCTGTATGCTGTGAACTGGGAAACCATTTTTGTCTTTTTTTCCCCACTCCTTGAACTCAATCCAACCCAATTTCATCCCTACCAGTCTCCATCCCTAGTGGTCCCTAATTCACACATCTTGTTAAATCTAAATCCACACTTGTTTCCTGTTAACTGCAGATAAATGAGATCCCAGTACATTAGCAACATATGTGTCTTTTTTTAAAAAAGAAAAGAAAATCAAACATTTTGTTTCTTAGTGTCTGACCCTCTTTTAGCTGAATGATCTGCAGAGTTAAAAATGCAATTTTGTTGTTATCCTACAGCTGTACAGTGTGGGCTTTACATGATGCAATTTTTTACAGTTCACAGGGGTGGGAACATGTTTGCGGTTGAAGCAGAGCAATATGAAATCCTGCATCTCAGATACAACGTAGCTATTTTCATGTGTCTGTCTCCATTCTAGACATACCCTGTAGCATGGCTTAGGAAGCCTAATTTCTTTTTATCTGTGGTCTGTTTTTCCCTACTTATAAGATTGCTGAGCTGCTTCATCCTATCCAGTCTTTCATTTCTGTTTCTTATATTTTAATTTGCTTCATAGTCTTATCATTTGTCCAAATCCTTAGTTCCTTGAAATGCTTTCTATATGCATTTGATTCCGTTAGTTAAATCCACTGGCATCTCTCCCATTTTCCATCCCCTTGCTTTTTTTTTTTTCTAAAGCATCTCCTGACATTTGGGTTTTTCCTCCCAGATGCATTTAGAAAAATCATTCTGGGAGAGAATGCAAAGCAAATTTCATGTTTCAATTTGCAGAAGCACTTGTCCTCCCCTGTACAGTTATATGCACATCTCTCCACCTTTGTTCTCCAGACTGTTAGGATGTCCATTAACAGTAATAGGAGCTTGTTAGCCAGGTAAAAAGACCAGTCCTTCATCTTCTCCTGCTCTTCCAGAATGAGACCATTAAAATGTAGGGAGAGGGAGTTCAACTGTAATATGAAAAAAATGAGGAAAAATTAATTTTGATTTATTACTGAAACAAGGTGACACTGCCAGGGAAGGAAAGTCAGATTGACAGTCACAGGATATTAGGAAAAAAAAAATCCCTTTGTTCAGCTACATAGAGAGAAGAGAAAAAGGACTGCCAGAAGCAGCAACCTTCCCACAATCTGACCAGCTTCCTCTCCTCACCAGTGATCAGCCTCAGGTGATAGCTTTCTCATCATTTCCCCTGTAACCATGGTTTGATAGGTACCAACTAGCCCTAGGACCTTATCACACGTGGCTCTCAAAGTGGCAAGAAAGCGATATGAGCATCATTCCAGTACTATAGCGGTAGCAACTCCACAAGACGGAAATAGCTAGCAGACGCAACTAGCATCATTGCGCTATTAACGAAAGCGCAATGAAGCGTCCCCCGGAAAGTGTATTTGCTGAGAATACACAAGTGAGAGGATTCCGCGCAGAACCCAGCATGGTTATTCTTGCACATGCGCAGCCCCAGGGATGGTTGCCATGCCCGTCGGATGCTGTTGTCATCACGTCCGCTGTGCGATTTTGCCATTGCTTCACCATTGCTATTGCTG